ATATATATATATATAAAGTTTGTATGAAAAAAACTGTCTCTGGCGGGATTGGAACCAAGAATAAGGTATTCGAAAGCTAAAATATTTATTTATCTATTTGTTTATATTTTCATTCCAGGTCAGCTTGATGGAAAGTTTCAATATCTCCAGCGACAAAGCGTCTAACCAGTTGGTTATATCTAGCGCTACACAGCTAGTCGGACGCTTATTTTGTATTTTGTTTGGAGACAGGTTACCTATTTCCCGTCTGCTGGCACTAGCGCTCAATGGTTTTATTGGTGCTTCAATTACCATCTTGTTACATTTCAGTATAAATTATGCATATCTTGTTGTATTTACTGCAGGTATGTAATACATTATTATGATAGGTCAGTTTTATTGAAAGGTCTTTGGACCTTTCAAACCACCCTGTGGGTGAGTGCGAACATATGCAAACACGTGCGTGTGCTTGTGAGTCATGCGCGTATTCCTGGCCTTGTTTTGATTGGTCAGTTTTTAATTTTGATTGACATTCCGGAAATTGTCAATTGCTCGTAATGAATCATTCCGGTGTAATATACCTGTAATGTAAAATTAATAGATGTTATATTCTCAATACTAACTTTATCAATTTATCATTTTAATGGTTCTATATTTACTTTGATATTTAGTTACCGGAGTTGTGATAGGAGTCCATTTTTCGCTAATATATTCAGCTGGTATTGAACTATTTGGCTTGGAAAGGAATTCGGAATCCTTGGCTTATACGATCATTTCGATAGGTGTAGCTACAATTTCGATGCCGTTTATGTATGGTAGGATATACATATATTGTGAGCTTCAAAACAATTGACAAACTCAATATGATAGGCCCACATGTGTAACACTTAGCTAAAGATAATAAAAATCAAATAGGCCTAATATGCATTAAAGTTATAATACAACCATCATGTTTAAGAGTATTAAACAAAATTATTGTAAATTTTGAACTGCGTATATCCTATGGTATATGAGGTCAATTGACATAAACCTATTTATGTTGTGTATATGTTGATTGACATTGATACGAACATGCGCAGTTCAAATTATGAATGAGCTTATTCAATTTCTACTCATTTACTTCTCTCACCAAGAACAAACTTAAAATATTACCACTCAATTTAATAGTCCGATTAAAGAAATTGTCCATGTTTGCCAAGTTTTAGATACAAATACAATATTATTATATATTTATAACTGAAATTTATCTTACGTAATTAAATCGATCTGAAATTATAATTAAAGTCTCCTTGGCAAGCCTCGTGGCATTTGGTAAGTTGGGCTTCCAAAACCATAATACGGTTATTTTCTTATAAAAGGAATATGGTACGACACTACTGGTAGCTACAAGATTTCGATTCTTACAAGTATGGCAGTATGGACTCTCTCTGCAATTTTCTTAATTTTAGCCGTTATCTGTAAGCGGTATTACTTAACGGTTGATCGAGGTCTCACTTCAGGCGTTTCATGTAAGGCAGTACCAGCCATTCAGGACTCATCGTTACATGAGATACAACTAGAGGAAAAACAAGAATGACCACTGTATTATTAGTTGGTTTAATAAGGTAATAGGATCCAAAAACAAATTCGTAAATTAATTAACTTCATTGCCTATATTTTGTATATATAAGTCGTGCATATTACCAAAATTTGAAAAGAAAGATAACCTTTAATCGAAAATAATCTGGAATTTATTTCGTTTAGAAGTTGAAAACTAATTGCAAACGAATATGATAGAGTAACTTAATTAAAGGACAAAGTAAATGTGATGGTGTCAAGAACAGACCTCTTGAAATGATATGAAGTAATGTAATAACTACATTATTCATTAGTATTGTAAGTGTGTGCATTTACACACAAATGATCATGGCTATAACTTACATACGATACTACTATATACCGCTTTATACTTATCTATGCGCTATGTGTATGTGTGTAGGCGTATGTGTATATGTTAACTGTATGAAGTGACAGAGACTAGTGGTAGTAGATCCGTAATACTGGCCTCTTTGGTCTAAACGGTATGACACTCGCCGAAATGTTTCTTTAGTCCATGGTATGTGTATGTATGTGTGTGTATATTATATTTTTGTATTTGGATGTAGGCCCTATAAATCTTGGGTACGCAGAAGCGCCTCACATACACATAGATCCAAGATTTTATCTTGGACTTGCACAGTGTATGGACACCACATTAAATATAAATCATTACCTGCCATCATTCTAAATTTGCTTTTAAAGCTGTCCCATCTCTATGATTATCTTGTATTCATGGTCTTGGTGAAAAGGGATGCAAATTCTATGTGCTCACCATTGTTTATAACCTCTCTACCCGAGCTATATTTTGAGATATATATCTTTTAATCATTTTTAAATTGTTTAAAGATTTTTGTACATTTATACCATAAGAAAATACTATACAAATTGGAATTTTTACTATTATTCATTTCTTCGTATGTAGTATTAGTATTAGTTTTTACATTTATTATAAAAGTGTTTATTGTGTATAAAAATATGGCCCCAAAACAATACGCTATTATTTTTTAATACAATTTTTTTTTCTGTTTTAAGCATATGCAACTTTTTTCATATTATGTAAGTTTATTATTACAATGTGAATTCATGTAAAAAGGAGAAACATTAAAGGTGGGAGAACCCCACGAAAGCTAAAACCAGGAAATACTTGTTACATTGTTACTTGGTAGTTCGTTTATTCCTTGCGGTTACAAGGCGATAACTACCCTCCACTTTATTGAATATTTCTCTCAAGTACAGCCCACCCACAACCAAAACGAACAGAGTATGCTTTCATGAGTCATAGACCAAAGTAAGTCAATGGTAATTAAAAGATTAAAATATAAAATGAGTGCAAAAACTACCAAACCTAGCCGCCTAATATGCCCTAAATTCAATTGAAAAAAAACAGGTTTTAAGGCATTTTATTTATTTATTTCTATTTAATTATTTGTTCATTATACTGGGTTACGTTATAGCAGACTGTTACTGTCCACCCACAGTGCCCAGGAAATTAAACTTCAGGAAATGTCTTATCCCATAGATATACAATCTATCCAAATTAAAGGGAAATAGTTTCTTTCAAATCTTACTACTAATGAATAAAATTGATTCTATTACGATATTATTCACCCAAGAAAAGTTTATAACCTGATCCCTGGATATGTTTGGGAAAATATATAGCAGTGAAAAAATTGTCTGTATTGTACAATTTGATTTTTTTTTTAGTCAGGGGGTGTTTGTGTGTGTGAACTGTGGAGATCTCTAGGTCCCCGGTTCAATTCCCATCGCTGCTCTCCATGGCTTGTATTTCCGCTGAAGGGCTGATAGTTAAGATAGCGCACCGTCTTTTGGATGATTACAGTAAAACTTTCAACATGCACAAATGAATAAACATTAACATAGAGTCATGAATGTGTAGTTTGATTAAGTAATAACAATTATGTTGCTTTTTCCCGCCAGAAATATATTACTACTTCGCCAGCTGAGGACGTCTCCCGTGGCTGTTATACTAAACCTGAAGATAGTAATTGTAATAAGTGCTTTAATTTTGATCAGTCATATTCATGATTTTGCTCAACCGATTTACGCATTAGTGGAGTGAGCAAAAATCTCGGATTTTCTTTAACCTTCATTTCCTTACTGGACGCCAAGTATCTGTAGACCTGGAAAGTGTCATGGCTGAGGATATCGGCACTGCCGCAGTGCGAAATAAACAAAAAAAAAGCTGCTGTGTTCTATCGGCACTGTCACAGTGCGAAAAAAGCTGTTATTTTCTATCGGCATTATTGCCGCAGTGCCAAAACAGCAGTTTTCTATCGGCACTGCCACTCGAAAAGCTGCTGTTTAATTAATCAAATGGATCTTTTCATCGATAGATTATGGTATCAATAATTGGTTAGGTCTACCCTAGCCTATATTATTGTTAACATTATACTATAAATGTTTCAAAATTAATTATAATCAATACTAATTATTAAATATAGGCCGACATATGTCTAGGCCCATACATAAAATAAAAAAATAAAACAACAAAAATTGTCATAAATTAAATGGTAGAAGTAGTAGTAGTAGTAGTAGTAGTAATAATAATAATAATAATAATATAATTATAATAAAAATAACAGTGCTCGAATAATACTATAATATTGAATAACAATATCAAGGCAAAAAGAGGTGCTGATGTGGGAAGTGATCATCACTTACTGGCAAGCCAAATCAAATTAAAATTACGTAAAACGTCAAACAAAAAGCCAGAAATTCTCTTTAACACTCAGAGGCTGAGAGACCCAGTCACCAGAAACATCTTTGAAATCAATCTCAAGAATAGTTTTGAGGTACTAGAAGAGCTACCGACTGAGGACATTGAGAGTGGCTGGACACAATTTAAACAGGCTTTTACAGAGACAAGCAGTTTGGTCCTAGGGCAAAAGAAAAAAGCATGGAAAACATGGATGACACCAAAATCATGGAATCTTATCGAAGAGAGAAAGAAACTGAAACAAGAAATTCTCTCAAGAAAGGGAAACTTTATGAGAGATAATACGTATAAACAGAAGAATAAACAAGTGAAGAAGAGTGTGAAAGAAGATAAACAACAATTCTTTGAAGAACAAACGAAAGAAGCGGAAAAAGCAGCCAACAGAGGAGATCTAGGTACATTATACAAAATTACAAAATTTCTCATAGGATCGTACCAAATAAATTCGTCTTCAACTGTAAAAGGAAAAGACGGAACAAGAATTACAAAACAAGAAGATGTGTCAAAGAGGTGGAAAGAACATTTTCAGGAGGTATTAAATAGAGAACCATCAATCGAAGAGGCAATCATTAACCTAGATATGCAGAACCACACTTTTGAAATGAATATGGGACAGATAACCTTAAGTGAAGTCAAACAAGCAATCCAAAAGACCAAAAACTGGAAAGCACCTGGAGAGGACAAAATTACAGGTGAGATGATCAAGGCCAGCATAGACGTCAGTTCTAAAGCGTTAAGAAAGCTATTAAATAGAATTTGGGAAGAAGAAGAAGTACCAGAAGACTGGAAGTCTGGAATTATTGTAAAAATACCAAAAAAGGGGATAGTTTAGATTGTAACAACTGGAGAGGCATAACTCTGCTTTCTATACCAGGAAAGATTTTCAGCAGAATCATACTAGAAAGAATGAAAACATCATTAGAAAGAGTAGTAAGAGAAGAACAAGCCGGCTTCAGGAAAGGACGAGGATGCATGGATCATATATTCACTCTCAGAACCATAATTGAACAGAGCATAGAGTGGAACAGCAGCCTTCACCTGAATTTCATAGATTTTGAAAAAGCCTTTGATAGTGTCCATAGGGAGACACTCTGGAAAATAATTTCACTTTACGGAATTCCAAAAAAACTAATAACCATATTCAAAAAGATGTACAGTAGGTACACCTGCTGTGTTTTACATGAGGGCAAGACAACTGACAAATTTGAAGTAACAACTGGTGTCAGACAAGGATGCATACTATCTCCTTTCCTCTTTCTGCTTGCAATTGATTGGACAATGAAGATGGCTACTCTTTCTTCGCCGTATTTTCCAAAGTTTCAATATTGTCCGCCTGCCCCGCCAGTAGTCTCTTAAACGAAAGAGAAAAAACATTTCATTAAAATTTCAGAGCGATTCGAGGCTAAAGAAAAACAAATAATAAATATCAAGCTGCGGTTACACTGTCTCTTATACACATCTAGATGTGTATAAGAGACAGCTATAATACTAGGAGATCAGATAAGTTCTTCGTTTTTCTGGTGGTCCGCATTCACCCGACTTTCCAGTTCGTCGACCCGGCCGAATTTTCGAAGTTGGATGTCCATCTGACTTTTCAGTTCGGCGACTTTGCTAACGGCTCCGGACAACTCGGCGTTTAACCGCGCTACCGCCATCACGGTCATGTCGAGATGGCTTTGGACTCCCTCTTCAGCGTGCTTTTCGTGTTCCGCATTGACGCCCTGAAATTGAGAAAGTCGAAAAAAAAATTCGTTGGTATTCTTTGCATAAAGCAATCTCGAACGAACTTTCATTAAAAAAAAAATTAGATATATAATAACCTACCTTGAAATCGCACCCGTAAAATTCGAATTTGCAGCATCTCTTCTGCCGAGAGCATTGTTCGTCCAGATGCGTTCTCAACTCTTCCCTTCGAACGTCATCCGCTCCGCAGTCGTTCGGACAAGACACCGTAAATTTAGGACAACTCCGTCGGTGCGCCTCGACGTCGCGATGAGGGAAGTGTGACTTGCAGAAAGTGCATTCGACCGAACGATGTTCGCACTCGGTTTCCAGATGTATCTGCAGATCCTTGCGTGGCAGCTTGGTCGCACACCCCCGCGATCGATGCATGCACGCAACGGGAAAGTAGTTGCAAAATTCCAGGTGCCGTCCGAGTTCTTTCAGCGCGAAAGTTTCAGAACACCCCCGATCCTTGTGGGGACAGTATATCTGAGCTTTCGACATTTTCCGGCGTGCGTGATGATCGGGTGCGATTTCCTCTTCGGTGAACTTTTCTTCGCAGTTCGGACAGAGTAATTTTTCCCCGCCGTCGCAGCCGGGCGTCCGTCCCTTGATGCAGGCTTCGCAAAACCGGCAGCCGCACGGCGCCTGCACCGCTCGTCGGACGGCGAGAAGACATACGCCACACGTCAGATCGTCCGACACTTTCCCTTCCACAAACGTGTAATCGAGTCCGTCCTCGTTCATCGA